CTATTTTTTCTTGTATTTGAATGGCTATTATATTATGTTCTTTCTCTGCCATCTTTACAATCTTATCATCTTGTTTTGCGAATATTACACAAGATCACCCTGATCTTTCTGAAGTACTTAAGTCTCAATTTTCATAATATCTTTTAATCTAATAAATAGCTGTAAACTTACTACAACGTATCTGTTTAGCAATAAATTCAAAACTAAACTTTGAACTAGCTAGGTATTCACGTAAAAAGACAATTTCATATTGTTTTTCTAAAGAAAGTTCCATTTTTTAAGCAAAAGTTTGATGATCATCTAAATTTTTTTTGTATCATTGATACTTATAAATTTACAGGTGATCATATATTGTGTTATATATTTTTAGAAAATTTAAGAGGTAGTTATATAATAATTTTAGACGATCTCAAATAGTCAGATACTTATGACCACTACTGTATATCTAATGTAATTTATAATAAAATAATAAAATAAAAATAAAATTAATTATTTCATATGATTTTTAATTCTATTTTCTGATTGGCTTATATATATTACTCAATACTTACATAATTTATAAAATTAAAAATTTTTTTTTATAAATTAATTCATTTTTACAAATTATTTTTATTTGATTAAAATTAAATTAGTAGATTAAATTTTGTTAAGTTATTATTATAGAGATTTTATATTGTAGTTTTTATATTTCTAGTTTTATATTATTCTTATTATATTTTAAATATAAAATAATTTTATAAAACTGTTTTTTTATAATAAATATTTTTATATTAATATATCAGTAAAATTTATTACTGATTATATAATTTACTAAATTTTATAACTTGATTTTATTAGTAATATTTATATAAGAAAATATTTATAAATTTTATAAAATTTCTTATTAAATTTATAAAAATATTATATTTTTTCTTAAATATTTTTAAATTTAAGTATTATAAATAAATTAATATTAATTATTCATTTATAAATAAATTTATTTAATAATTTATTATTTTATTTTAAAAAATATATATTATAAATTAAATTTATCAATTAGTTAATCTAGCAAATTTTTTTTATAATTATTAATAATTAACTTTCATTTATAAATTTTATTTAAATTAATTAATTTATAAAATTTTATTGTTAATTTATTTTAATTTGTAAATTAATTTTATTATATAGTTAACTCTTGATATAGTGAACTCTTGATATAACGAATTTTTTGAACAAATATAATAAAAATACTCTTGTTATAGTGAATTGGCCAATTAAATCTCTTAAAATCTTCACTATAGCCTTATAGCGAAGTTGAGGTCTAGGACATAGAGTTTGTTATAATAAGAGTTGCCTATATATATATTAAATATTATATAAGCAAAATAAAATCCCTTAATAATAATCAATAATAAAATAATAAATCCTTTTAATAAGATAAAAGCTAAAACTGATAAATCTTTATTAAAGATTTTGGCAAGTATCTATAAAATAATATTTAAAATTAAAGATTAATTAAATTTTAATTTCAGTTATTTTTTATAAGTTTATATTTTAATTTATTAAAAATAGAATTAATTATTAACTTATAAATTAAATAAATAGATTTTTATTTATTATTTTATTAAAATAATTATTTTTTACTATTCAATTACATGTTTTAAATAATTATTTATTATAATTGCATCATAATAATTTATAAATACATATCCTTATAGTTTTTATAATATAAAGTGGTAAATTTTCACTATACTTTATTTACTTTTCATGTACTATAAAATTTTTTAGATAAAAAAAAACCTCAATATTAATAGATATGGACGGTCAATAGAAAAGGGGGGAAATCTACAAATTTTGAGTAATTTTTAGTTATTAAGCTAGTTTTGTTCACATGACCATGCTTGGCAGAGTGAACCAATAAATTAAAAAGTAGATTTCCCCCTTTTCTACTGACCGTCTCCCATATTACAAAGTCTGATTTTTTTACAATTAAAAAATTATTAAACTAAAAAAATTTTATTAAATAGAACTAAACCACTTTATTTTTCAATTAAAAATAAAAAGCAAAGTTTTAGTCTAAACATTATAAATTATTTCATATAAATTATATTGATTTCAATAATGAAAGAGTCAGGTCGAATTGAACATTAAGATGATTTGATTGAGACCAAAGCAAATAAAAGTATCTTTTAATTATTAATACTTAGTACATTCTTTAATATTGTATAAATATTATTGTTGTAAATTGAATTTATTATGCTATTTAAATGACTTTATCTGGTCATAACTTTAAAAAATGATCACTGGGAATAATAACTTATTGCAAGTTGACATATAATGCCGCCAAAATTTTAAAATGTCTACCAATTGAAATAAGCCTCATTATTGTTCTAAAAATAATAATAATTAGCGTAGCTTCAAACTTTTCCTTAAAATTTTCGTTTACGCATTAAGGTCGTTTCTTATTACAGTCTATAAGCACATTTTTTGAAAAAATTACTGGTGATTTTAGACAGGTCGGACTTTATTAGTTCTCTCGATAATAGGATTGATTCAATAAATGCTTGTATTAAAACTCTCCACTAAAAAAAAGTTGAAAATTATAGGAATGCACAAATTTTGTTTGGAATTATTTAGTTAGCGTGTTTTGTATAAAGAAATGGTGGAGATTATAATAAAAGACATATTTTAAAGCCTATGGGCTTTCGAATATTTGAAAAGTAATTTCAAACATTTGCTGTTCATTTTAAAAGTTTGCTAATGAGTACCATTCTATGAGTTAAAATGGCCTTCCGTGTGTAATGTACATCCTCAATTAAATTCGAAACGATGATCCGAATTTCACAATTCTAAATATTTTTTGTTCAATTTAAAAAGAAATATTTTCGTCATGTTTTTTTTATCACTTTGGGATTATCATGATTTTTTCTTTTTAATTATGTTAATGGTTCCCAGAATAAAAAAGAATCATAAATTTTACTATTCACAATATTCCATTCTTGCAATTAGCTTTTTGATTAGGTGGTAATTGTCCAATTAATTGAACGAATTGAACGAAATGAACGAAATGAACGAAGCGATGACTAAGGAAAAAAAACTCTATTTAACGAAGCACTCAAATTTAGATTTTGATATATGATTATTTGACTATAACAACAAAATGCTTTCACAAAATATTCTAAGTATTTTTCTTATCCTTACGTTACCCTCTTACATTATCTCAGCACCATCATCTTATTCGAAATGCCCGAAACTTGGAGCAAACGAACCACTTATAAAATATAATGTACTGTTGAAAACATCTAGTGCAAATTATGATTCTGTTGTGAAAAATCATTTTGAAATGTTACAAGGATGCCTACAAAAAGAGAAAATCAATGTTCATAAATTTGATTTTTCATCCGTTAAAGATACTAAAAACGATAATGCGATTTTCGATTTCAGTGTAAATGGAATGATTGCTGGATACACTACCACATTTACCAAAAGTTTTGTTGTGGATTATTTGTCTAAACTCGATGATGTTGAATTGGTAGAAGCAGATGGAGTTATTGAAAATGCATTTGATATAGGAATTTCTAATAGCACGGGTTTTGAACGAAGAGCCGAAAGAGATGCTACAAATATACCTGTAAGTATTGGATCAATTCTCACTACATAAGAGCAATCTTCTTTTTTTTTTTTTTTAATAAAGTTTATTTATTTTTATTTAGAATCTTGATCGCATTGATCAGGAAAAGTATCCTTTGGATAATAAATATAAATATCCTGATAGTGCAGGAACGGGAGTTGATATATATGTACTAGACACGTAAGATTAAAGAACTTATGTAAAGAACTTTTTAAAACCAATCACCGTAATAAGAATCCTTACTTTTATTTTAGGGGAATTTATCTTGATCATGAAGAATTTCAAGGTAGAGGTGGTACAACTCTTGTTGAAAAGAGTTTTTGCGATGAAATAAAAGATGATGACGGACATGGAACAAATGTTGCCAGTATTATAGCAGGAAAAACTTATGGAGTTGCAAATAAAGCAAATTTAATCGGTATCAAAATAGCAGGAAAAACTTGTCCAATAACTTCACAAAATATAATTAATGGAATAACTTACGTCATGCAACATAAAAAAGATAAACCTGATAATAAAATTGTTATTAAGTAAGTTTATATGAATATAAATATATAAATGAATGTTTGTATACTTATTTTTATTTCTTTATTTTTTTAAAAAAAAAAAATTAGTTTGTCAGCGGTTAATAGAAATGGAGATGAAGCTCTTAAAACGGTAGCAAGACAAGCTGTTGCGGCTGGAATTCATTTTATTGCCGGAGCTGGCAATGACAATAGAGATGCATGTTTGTATGCTCCAGGTGCTGTTGAAACGGTAATAACTGTTGCTGCAACAAAAATCACCAATCCTCCTAATCGTCAAGATTGGGTTACTGAATTTACCAACTGGGGAAAATGTGTTACAATTTTTGCTCCAGGTGTGGATATTCAAGCAGCTGGAATTGGGAGTACTAGCGAAATTGTTAAAACAGTAGGAACAAGTGTTGCCGCTCCGCATGTTACTGGTGCTATGGCTTTGATTCTTGCTGACGGAGATTTGGATTATGATCCTGAACAAGCTAAAGCAAAACTTCTGAGTTATGCTACAAAAGATCAAATTAAAGGCCTTGATTATCGACCAACTGCCAATTTGTTGTTGCGTGTCCCACCAATAAACTGATGGTGTTATTACGTAATGATGTTCTAATTAACTTAATATTTCCTTGATAATAATAAATCCATAATTTAATATAAGTGTCTACGAATATAAATAATTGCTAATAGCAACTGTATTTATTATATGATTTTATTATTAATTTTAAAGTAGTTTTAGATTTAAGTTATTATTTTAGATTCAAATTGATCGAAATATTATATTATAAATTTATTATATATAAAAGTTAAGATAATAATAATCTAAATCTGAAGATTAAAAATTTTTTTTTTAATAAAAATGAAAATCTTAAATATTAAAAATATTTTTATAACGATAATATATATTAAATAATAAAAATATATTATCGTGCTCACATGATGTAGAAGATCTTGTTTTTTAATATTTTGTAATATCACTTTATATCGAAAATAAACTATATAATAATATTTTTATACATTCGTTAATTATTAGCGTTAGAATTATTAAAAATAATTATAGAATTAATAAAAACTTTATCAGCTTTCATTTTTGAAAAACTAATTCTTCTAATCCTTACGGATGATTTTGTTGATCTTGAATTATTGAAGTGGTTGCTGAAATAAATCATTTTATCATTAGAACAATTTGTAGCAGTATCAATTATTGTACTTTTATCTATTTTTTTTTTTAAAAAATAAATTAATAATTCTTAATTAAATAATAATAAAAAATATATATATGTAATTTACCATTAATAAATGACTTTGCTAATGTTAATCTATCTTGCATTGTTGTAGGATAGTTTGAAGATAATAAAGGATTTGAAGTTGATAAAAAATTTGTCATGCTATTTGTATAATAATAATAGAATTAATATTCTCATATATTAGAAGAATAAAATATAATATACATACTTGCTTCATTATCATTAGCTGCTGTTTTAAATCCAGATGTTTGAGTAAGTTTCATTATTATATTGCATTTCAATTTCTGGTCATTCATATATTGCCAAACCTTGTTCAGATTTGTGTCTTAAACTTGCCATATATTTAGTATTAGAACAATTTAATCTTTAACATTTGAATAAGAGTTTTTCATTCTGAATGATTACTAAATTTATGATTATCCAAAGGTATAGATAGCTATTTGTTTTATAAATAATTTAAGTTTTTTTCAGAAATCTGTTCTTTATAATATATTGTCTATTGAATTCAACTATTTTAAATTTTAAATTAAAAAATAATTCTTTTAATAAAATATAAATTCTAATTAAAATTATTAATATTAATACTTACATTAATATTGCATGATTTTAAATAAAAATTTGAGTTTGATTGAACTGGATGCTTAGTAAAATATTTTTTATATATTTCAATAATTTCAGGTATTTTAGGAATAAATAATTTTCATATTATAATTCAATATTATTAATACCATGTTAATTAGTTTTAGATTTATAAAAAATTACTTTAAACCCTTTAAAACAATCATTTTTTTGTAAAAAACTATTATATAGTAAATTAAAATATTTATCAATATATAATTCTAATATGATTGCATTAAAAAAACACCTAATATAATAAATTAGATAAAGTATCTCTAATCATAATTAGATGATTTATAATATACAAAATTTCCTCTTTAGTAAAATCTGTATTTTTAGTACATTCTGTAAGATTTTGATTAACTAAATTTTTTACTTTACTATTAAAACTTGTTATAGCTTATAATATATTTTTTATATGCACACTAATTTTATAATTATCATTATAAACTTCACTAATAAAACATTTTATTTTTTTAATTATGTCAATAATTAAAAATATAATATTAAATTTTTTCATTTTTGGATGCATATTTTTTTAAATATAATTTTAATATATGTTACATTATTTTTTTATTATTCTAATCATTAAGGATACAAATCTCAGAAATATTTTATACAATTTTTTAATTTTAAATTATATAAGCAGATAGCTTATTTTAAAAAAATTGTTAATATTATATTATTATAATAATTTAGTTTATTTCAAACTAAAAAAAATTAATTTATTTTGAATTACTTTATTATTTTACCATTTTAAAATACTAGCTATAATAATTATCTTATAATTTTTTACTAAATTACACTTTATTTTTATCTATATTTATATATAATACAAAATACTAATTCTTTACTATTATTTTTATCTATAAAAATACTAATATTATGTAAATAAATAATAAAGAATGAAAATTTATACTATTAAGTACTTGTTAATATCATAAAATCTTAATAATATTATTTTCAAGTATTTTATTTTATTTTAACCAAATACTAGTCTATAAGTAGTATTTATAGTTTTAGAAGAACTAGATAATACTTTATTATTAATTCTCTTTTTTTTCACAAATAAATCTTAATATATTTAAATTTTTTAAGTTATGAAGTATTTTAACAGTAAAATATTTTTAATTGAGTTTTAAAGCAATTTAAAAGCCAAATCATAATAAAATAGAATATATATTAGAATCTTTAGATTTAAGATTAGAAAAGTATATTAACTTGCAAAAAAGAATCATAATGAAGTTTTAAAATGAGGTTACCTATAGAAATAATATTTCCAGAAAGTTTATATTTAAAAATAAAATTAGTTAGGAATGTGAACTTAAAATAAATATATTTTAATTATAAATCATAATTCATATTAATCATATAAAATTTTTATCTATAATATAAAGATTGTTAAATAAATATTAATAAATTTTAAATATTATAATATTTTTAGAATTTAAATATTATATTTAATTTTAAATTATTTGCTAATTAAAAAATATTATTAGGAAACAAAACTGTTATTTAATCTAAAATAATCTTAATTAAAAAAATTTACACTAGTATTTACTTTATTTAAACTTTTATATAATTATAAAGGTAACTCAATTATTAAATAAGCAGATAACAAGACAATACAGATCTAATATATATAGTTCTTTATTTTATTCTAGACTAATAAATAATATTTTACAAAGAAATAGTTTATAATATTATTCTATAATTTTTTATTTAAATAATTATATAATAAATAATTAATCTAAAGCGTAGCGAAAGATTATTATAGTTTAGACTCAGTAATACAAAATATCAATCTGTCTACCCGCTTGACCTATGAGATGATGACGTTCAATTACTGTGTTTATCAGTATTGCTCATGATCATTTCCCAAATCTTATCAAATTTATTTAAAAACTTTTTGCATTAAAAAAAAAATTTTTCAGCTTTATATTTTTTTTATTTGTATTGCTATTTTTTCTGAGAAATGTAAATTAAAATAATATTTTGATGCTTTGTTCCTATTTTTTTAATGCTTTATACTGTTATGTTAAATTGTGTCTTCTTTTGATATTAATAAAACTAGTTATTCTTCTTCGAGCTTTCTTTCTTGTAACCTTTGCAAGTTCTTTATACGAAGCAATCTTTTAAATATAAACTGTTTGAAGGAGATATCGTTTAGTGAACAGACACGTGATATTGTGATAAAAGAAAGTTCTGCCGCAAATTCTTTGCTTTCAAGATCGATTTTAGTCTTTTCTAATGTTAGTCTTTAGCTTTTGTGTACAGTAATCGTCTAGGTAAGACGTAAGGGAACTTGCAGACATGAACACTACATCCTATTCTTACCTTTCTATGATCTTTTAATAGGCACGATAGGTACAACTTTGATGCCTTCTAGGTTGGTAATTATGGGTCCTTCATACTTCTCAAATGTGACAAATACTGCTACTAGAAGAGAAGGTAGTCCCGTTCTTTGAATATGATATCTTGTATGACTCCCATTGAGCTATTTACCAATTCGCCTTCCATCCATACATTGCTGTTAACATAATACATACATCTTTTGCCAACAGTAATTGTGCTTCAATACCTTTTACCATTTCTGAGTTAGCTTATTTAGCTTCAACTCCTTCGCTATGTACACCTACGATCTTAGCAACTGGTCGCTACAATAATCTAAAGTGAATATCCTCAGAATATTTTCTCCACATCTCCGTCACATCCCCACGCCTTTCACACTCTGGACTTTACAATGGTCCTCACCATTCCCTAGTTATAATTATAATTAATGTAATAAAATATTTTATGTAAATTATTTGCTTTTTTAATAAAATTTAACTTTGAACTTTTAAGCAATTATTTTATTATTTATTTAAAAAGATGGTTAATTAATAAAACTTAAATATTGTATAAAATTCAAATAAAATATAACTCAGCTTTATATATAACTAAGATTGCGAGATGAAATTTCAAGGTTTTGCAAGTCATCTAGATAGTAAAAGATAAATTATATTTAAAAAATCTGTGAAATTCAGAAAAAGATAAAATGATATTAAAGCTTATAAAAATACGAAACTATATCCAAAAGCTTAGAATAAAATTAGCGAAACTAAAGTTTAAAAATTTTGCTAAATCCAACATGAGTTTAGATAAGCAACTTTATGTATATCTAGTATCTTTATAATACTACAAAATTTCGTGAATATAAAATGAATAAGATTAATGCATAATTTAGTATTTAATTTTAACCAAATCTATTGAATCTTATTTCTTCTAGAAAAGGAATCTGCCACAATCAAGAATATTTATTTTGAAATTTCATATAATTTGTAGGAATGGGTGTTAAATTTAAATCCCCTCATTTGTCAAAATGTTAATTTCGGAAATTTTATTTACCCTGATGCCACGTGCGAAAAAAAAAAGCGGCAATATCACGTGATATGAAATTGATTCCACGTGACTTGGTTTTAGTCGCGAATTACATAAATAGTAATATAAATCATACACGAAAACGGTTGGAATTTTTTTATTTAGTTCCTCTTGTGGTTTGTCTTTCACTGTCAAAAATGTCTCATCAAAGAATTTTATCTCGTGGTTCAGAAAACCGCAAGTATCGTAGTTTACTTTCCAAAGAAAAATATAACGAAAATCTGAAGAAAGAGGGTGATATAAACAAGGAAGATTCTTCTAAACCCACAAAGAGAGAAACATTACGTGAAGTAACATATGAACATACAAGATTTAGCTCCACCAACAACATAAATGAGCGTAATGTAAATTATAAATCCTTTCGAGAAACAACTTTTGGAAAGGGTTTATTATCATCTACTAAAAATGAAACCATTGAGAAAATCAAACCTTCTCTCGTCACAAATAACTTTTTCACAGAATTATCTAAAGAAAAATCAAGTATACAACCAAAGATCAACAAACAAATCAACACAGTTGATAAAGTTAAGGATGTTAACAATAGGAATGATAATATTCTTAAAAATATTTATTCCAAAGTTGACAAGATTGTTGAGGTTGAAAATTATTTTGAAAATCTTTATGGAAAAGATGGAATTAAAGGCATGATTGTTGAATTTTATGATCTTGAATCGATTAAAGAAAAAAGTTTTCACCTTCCTGAATGGCTTTTAAAAGATAATTCCGAAGAACTCTTTAAAGCAGAATTACCGCCTCAAGACATTACGGTATATGATCTTTGGTTTTTTAGGAGAAAGAATGAAGGTGCACCCAGTTTTGTTCACAAAGGAATCAAGCCAATTTCCAATGCTGATATTTTATCACATTTGGAAAAGATTTATACCTGTTCTCATGAAGAAAAACGATTAGATACAAATAAAATTGGATCAAAGATGATTCACATTATCTTGAATGATTTGAGAAAGGTTAATAATTATATGTTGTATATTGGAAGTGAAACGCGATATCCCAATAATGTAATGGAGAAAACTCCAAAGCTTATCGAGAAACTTGAGAAGGTTTTGAAAAGGATTCGCTCATATAACACCTATGAATTTGTAAATATAGCTAATGATGAAAAGGCGATTAAATATACTAAAGAATTATTGGATATAGCTTTGATGAACTTTAACGTGAGAACTAGAGAGAACAGCAAGAATCGTACAATGTTTAGGAAAGTTTGGAAAGAGACGAATAACGAACTGGAAGCAATCATCGAAAAGTATTTTCTTGGAAACAAAAAGGTTGGTTAACGCGTCATTTTAGTATTTTAATCAAAATTTTTTTTACCATCAATTACAAAATGGTACTAACGATACAAATAATAAAAATTACAGTATGCGCGACAATAAACTACGCTAATCTATTCATATCAATTCTATTTATATTGATTTTAATTGTTGTTCTTAATTTTACTAGTTCTAAATTTAAATTATAACAAACGTTGCACAATTCCTCTTTTTCATCTCTTCTCTCCTTACCACTATTATTATACATCCCCCAAATTTTTTTTAAATCTTCGATAATGATTTCAAGATCTTTATTAGCTTTGGTGTAAATACAATAATAATTATGAATTTCATTGACCGACATGACGAATCCTTTTAAATGAGAATAGATGTTTACTGCTTCATTCGTCAAAGAAATCAAATTTTTGGTGAAATTTAAAACGATAACAGGATCTTTCTTTTGTTTAATGATTAATAATTGAATAAAGTAATTAATGTAAGCAATATAATTCAATAAATCGTAATGAAGTTTATGTTGTATATACAGGTCATTTTCTTTTAGTTTTAAATTATATCGTTTCTTAATTATTTCTTTGGGAGATTCTTTGGGAGATATTTTAGAACTTTTAAAAAAACGAAGCGAGTTGAAATTCATGATTTATATAGATATTGTAAATATACGATATATAAGTTTTTTTTATTTCGAGAAAAGTCGAATATTTTTTTGCCACCACCAAGGTAATAGAAATGTTATGGTATGCAAATTATGTAAAAAAAGAATTTTTTGAAAAAAAAAAAATTTTTTATCGCAATAATAAATACATACCACTTCTAATATTTTTATATACAGTGAATTTTTATTTTTATTTTACTTATTTATAAAGTTAATGAATGACAAAAAAGAAATAAAGAATTCCTTTTTTCTTAAAGAAATTATTTTTTCAAATGAAGTTGAAAATCAAAATGATAATAAAAAAAAAAAAACTTCTTTCAAAATTATCAAATGCATTAATTGTTTAATGTTTTTAGATTAAATAAACTAAATAAATATTCCTAAAAGCAGAAAAATTTTAAGTGATTCCAATTTCAGACAACCCCTTTTTGTCGTTTTATTTCTTTTACTTATTTTTTTTTTTTAGGATTTTCGAGCTGCTGCTTAATGTAGGTATTTCTTTCCTTTATTTCTTTCTATTTTCATTTTTTATTTATTTTATTTATTTATTTTTAATTTCGAATTTATTTTATTCAGTTTTCGGCAAATAAGTACTTATTTTTAAGTTTATTTTTTTATTTTTAATTTTTTTTTAGTTTTATTTTATTTATTGGGTGCTGCGTCATTTAAATAAGAGATTGTATTCATTTTCGTTTTCATTTATTTATTTTTTTTTTTAAACTTCAAAGTGATCCAACCTGAAAAAAAGCAAAAAATAATCATTCAATTAGAACATGTTAAAAAGATTCACTTTTTAATTTAAAACAGCAGAAAGCAAATAGAAAAGGAACTCATACCTTTACGAGTTACCTGTATAATAAATTCTATTTAAAAGCTGACTTTTTTAAATATTTTCAAATCTTAATTATAGAGAAAAGGAAATCGTTAATTTTTTTTTATTATAATCGAGTAGTAAAGAAAAATAAATAAAATAAACAGTTAAAAAATCATAAAATTTTTATAATTAAAATAAATTGCTTATGTGCAGTATAGTACATGCTGGAATTCAGATTCTGTCTGAAGTTTAATTTCAGATATCCCAATTTCAGATGAGAAATTGATTATTAAAGCCATGGTAAATAATCAAAATGGGTATGAAGTTATAGTTCAATATCACCAGCAAAATCCTCTTCTTAGTTGAATTACAAAGCGATACTGATATTCTTAAAGATATAGAAAACAACACTACTTGAAAGTTAGAAGAATTAGGAATAAAAGCCGATAATACCCAAACTAAACTTCTAAATGATAGTGCTGATAAAGCAGTTAAATTTTCTATGGTGGTTTCTTTCAAAGGTTTCCATTTTTTTTTCTTTTTTTTTCTTTTTTCTTTTTTTTTTTTGCTACTTTAGTTTTATTTTATTTTATTTTATTTTTTCAGACCCCCTAATATGACAGAGTTTGCAAATAAATAAATAAATAATTCGAATCCAAGTTTTTGATATTCAAATATCGAAAATAAGTGGAAAGCATCTTTAACTAATATCAACTGCAATGATTCAACTTTCTTAAAATTTTGAAAATTAGATATTTATTAGAATGAAAATAAAAAAAACATTTATGAACGACATGTTTGATTTACCATTTACTTTTTGCAAAATGACCACGGTAACTGCAGACATCGTCCTCCTCCATACATAGAATCGCGTTTGCACCGGTTCTTCAAAATGCACATGGTACGTCTGTGCTTGTGTTAAAAAGCACCACTACAACGTTCTTGTTGACAGTCATCCACGAAATCGCGAATTTTCGTAACATGGAAAACTTTACGATTGTGAATTTTTCCGTGAGTTTGTTCAATAGCTTGTCATATACGCACTGCCTGTTCTACAGCTAACCTCTTGGCTCGAATCCGATCATGAAAGTTTGTATACACCAGGATCTATTAAATAGATAATTTTTTCTTATTATATAAATATTACAATAAATTCAATAAATTCGAAACGGGAGATACAGTATCTACCTGAAAATAAGTTAAAATCTTGATAAAAAAAATTGCGTCTTAGAACAAACCCGTTCGAGTCTCCTATGAACCCAAGGTTAACGATTACGTAATCAACGAGAAGAATAAAAAAAATTAACACATCAAAAATCCAAATACGAATAGTTTAATCAGATCTTTATATCGAAGGTGGCTGATAACTTTGAGGACGATTAGTAATTTCGAGCGGACGATTCATGTGCTTTGTTGATGTCAGCTTGCTTTTCCTTGTCTATTGAAGTTTTGAGAATACATAAATCCATCATATCAATGAAATATTCCTTTGATTAATGAGAGGGACGTTCATCCTTCAGTTGATGCGAATGTATTCCAAGGTATCATCGGTTATGGTCTAGAGAAACAACGCAGAAAACATCGTTCGAATTCTAAATAAAGTGAGGTATCATAAATTTCTGTCAGGAAGGGTAACATTACAAATCGTAAGATTCTCGAGAAACCTTTTCCTTACATAATCATACATAATCATGTATGACGCAGTTACGTAAGTTGTTTTTGAGCATGGCAATCCATTAATGCGTCCTACATACTTTAATTATGATTACACAAGTAAAAAACAATGGAAATCCCGAAATGCAAAAGGTTTGATGACGCGTAGTGACCCTATTTAATAAATTAAATAAAATCATTTGGACAAAATGATTCCTTACCATTTCATCAAATGATTAATTATTTTTGATTCCTTCCTTTTATTACTCAAAGTTTTTAAGATCTGTAGTTATTGATCCAACAATGTCTGTCAATAAATTGCTTCAAAGTTCTGAAAGAATGGAATTATGATTATGGATGGTTTCTGACCAATCCAAAAACCAACACAGATTATGATGGTTATTCCGGTTATTTGAAATTTGTTATATCTGAAAAAAAAAAAAATGCTTGCTACTTACCGTTCAAAATCCCGGAATTTTTTTTTTGAGATTGTGACCGCATTTTCAGATATTGTAATCACCCGGTCGCGCAATCGAGGATACCAAATGCATTATCGCCTTTTATGAACGAAAGTAGTCGACAGTATGATGAGTTTTAGTCCTTTTAGAAACTTAACAATTCTTTTATTTAGTTATTGAAGGATGATTTTTTTTCCTGCTTAATTGGTAATTTCGACAATGCATGCCCAAAAATAATCGTAACTTGATCGTAATTTAATCGTAATTTAATGACAATGGTTGATAATTTATAAAAATGTAACAAAATGCGACGATATCTTTATATAATATTTACGAGGATATGAGATGATTAGGAAAAAAATCGAATTCTGGGAATTTTTTTCAAATTTTTATTTTGATGTTTTCGATTATTAATAAATGAAATCTTAAATTAGTTCAAAACCTGATTGTCCTAACAATCATCCATGTGATGTATATATAAAAAAAAAAAAAAAAATTCAGTTTCAGCCGTTAATAAGAAAAAAAATTTTTTAAATCGAAATTGGCTTACTTAATTTTTTGTGGAAATACTTTTTTTACCTTTACCACATTCGATTGTTTTCGGTTAAAAAACGGGATACTTTACCGAGAACACAACCGAGGATGTTCGGAGTCCTCCAAAAACTATGTATCCGTCACATTGAATGCATGTACATTAATGTATGCAATCTATCCCTAAAAGATTTCAATGTATTTGGTTAGATTAGATCACATTCAAATTGACAGGTTCTAATCGTTATTTCAAATCACAAAGATCTAAAAAAAAAAAGAAAAAAAAAAAAAAAAAATCGTCGTCAAAAAAGGCGCGTTTTCAAATTTTTTCAGATTTTTTTTTTTTTTTTTTTTTTTTTTTCGGTTCAGCATTTCACAATTTAAATAGGACAAAAGTATTTTTTTTTTTTTTCATTTTATTTTTATTTTTTTTGACACTAAAAAATTATATTATTTCAAAACGACCGGTAAACGACGAAGAATGGTAATAATAATAATAATAATAATGTAATAATAATAATGTTATTATTAAAAAAAAAAAAAAAAAAAAAAAAAAAAAAAATAAGAAAAAGTAATGAGATGATAATATTTAACGACGTAAAGTAACACATTTTCTTGTCATAAAAAAAAATAGTCTGGCAATAAAAAAAGAGGAGGTGTGACTTGAATAATAATAATAAATAAAAGAGAAAATTAATTTAAAAACAATGGGTTGATATGGCATATAAAATAAAATATTTTCGCTATGAAAAAAAAATTAATGGAATTTAAGGAGGCAAAATAGTTCAATTTATATGTCATATTAACAATACAGAGAGATATATATAAAAAGAATAAATAAATAAATAAATAATTCTAAATGCTAGAGAGAGTGATATAAATAATATTTTTTTTT